GGGGTGCGTGCACGTGCGGTGCTTGGAGTCCGGGCAGGGCTGTGGGCGCGCCCACGAGGCTGGCTGGGCGGGCGGGCGGGGACAGCTGTGTCGCCGGCGGTGTGGCTGCAGGGCCCAGCCGTGCCCCGCTCGGCAAAGGCCGTGGCCATCAGCTTACCGTCTTCCTACTGCCCCGTCCTTGGAATCCACGCGGACAACCCACTCAGCACCCCAGCCTCTCATTCCCTACCTTCCTCAACACACACTCCCCGGGATTGGCAGAGCCCCAAAATGGGCCTTCTCTCAAGTCACACATTCAGATGTCCTTTCCTGTCAGAACACAAGTTCTTCACTTGTCCCTCTGTGTCAGTGTGTGACCTCATGGGGCCCTCCTGGCATGGCCCTCTATTCTCTCTGTCAGACATGTCCTTGTCCCACTCTTCCCTGGTTGCACCTGCCTGGCAGAATAGCAAGCCTGCTTGAACCAGTTCCTCCGCCTGCCCTTGTGCTTGAGTCTGTGAGGACATCAGGTGAGCCTGTGGGATGGAGTCCCGGGTCCTGCCTCAGCTGAGGCCTCGCCCGTTGGTAAGCCCTCCCCCACTCTCCACAGGAGATGTCTCAGACCGTCACCCTTCTCCCCACACCTCTCTTGCCCCTTACTCTCAGCAGAGGACCTGACTTCCATCTTCAGAGAGAAAAAGCCTCAGGAGGGAACGCCTTTGCATCAGTCAAAGATGGTGCCTTCAAACAGGGCGCTTTGAAGGAGTTTAATAAAGGAACTATTAAATTCTGGGGACTCCACAAGGATATTGCAGTGTCCCAGGGCTAGTAACAATGGGGAGCCCACATGACCCTTAGGCCTGAAAAGGCAAGGGGCAGGAGCAGTGACCAGGACTTGGGGAGGACAGCTGGCTGAGAGGCCCCCAGATGGCAGGAGGGACCAGGAGGGACACATTCCCCAGCCTCACTTTCCAATCCTCCAGTTTCCTGCTGGTGACTCCCAGCAGTGGAAGCCAGACAGCAGTCCACCCGAGTCAGCCTCATGGGCAGAGGCAGCAGAAGGGTGCGGGCTGGATCTGGAGGGTGGGGGTAAGGGGTTGGCCTCACCTCAGCCCCACACTACCTGCACCCAGCCCATCCTCTCCACCTGCCTCCTGTTGCCACCCATGACCATTTTCTCCTTGTGGCCCAGGAGGACCCCCCTACCTGGGCTCTAGGTTCTACCCTCCCCTAGGAGGCTCACTCCTGAGTTCTTCCTCTTTCTAGGCTTCACAGTCTCTTCTGACTCTTGCATAAGAGACTCCCTTCTAAGCCCTCCCTTAGCTCCATGTCATGCTGCGGCCATTGCCATGTCTCCCCCGCTCAACTCACAACCCAATTTCTTTAAGGAATTACCTGCACTGGCAGTCAGTGCGAGTCCTATTGACCTCTCAACCTGTGAAGATCTGGCTTTCGCCCTGGCCACACTCCACTGAGACCATTCTCTCCAGGTCCTTACAGGAGGCCCACCTTGGTCTTCACCCTCCTTTGACTCCCAGCACCAGCTAAGGACGTGGACAACTCCCTCTACCTGAAGCACTCCCACCTCATACTCCTCTTCCCCATACCTCTTGTACTAGTGTTCTAGGGCTGCCCTAACAAAGCACCACAGATGGGAGGCTTAGAAAACCAAAATTTATTTTCTCACCATTCAGGAGGCTAGAAGTCAGAGGTCAAGGTATCAGCCAGGTGGGTTTCTTTTGAGGCCTCTCTCCTTGGCTCAGAGACGGCCGCCTTCACATTCACATGGCTTCTCCCTCTGGCATGTCTGGTCCTACTCTCTTCTCATACAGACACCAGTCATATTGGATTAGGGCTCACCCTACTGACCTCATTTTAACTTAATCACCTCTTTAAAGACCCTATCTCCAAATACAGTTACATTCTGAGGTACTGGGGTTGGGACTTCAACATACGAATTTTGGGGAGACACAAGTCAGCCCCTGACACCTCTCTTTGGCTGAGCTACCTCAGTAGCCTCCTGTCTGCCTAGGCTCAGAGGTGGGGCTCCTCAGTCTTCCATCCCATCTCTTCCTCTTCTCACCCACACACTCCCCCTGGGTGATCTCCTCTGTCCTTTAGCTCCAGGTGCTCTCTATAGATGGATAGAATGATGCAAATCTATATTGCCAATCCCTTGAGCTCCAGACAAGCACACCTAATTGTCTCCTGCCATCTCAACTTGACCTCATAGGAATCTCTAATACCTTGTGAAAGGAAATGTGTGGCCTTCCCTGCAGGTGTTCTTCCTTCTCTGTTCCTCAGTTCCGAGGGATGGCACCACCACCTCTGCAGCTGCCCAAGCCAGGGACCTGGGGTAATCTTTGGCTTCTGTCTGCCACCCTCCCTACAACGAATCACGGGGAGCTGAGCAGTCCTGAATCCTTCACTTCTCTCCATCCCCATCCCCACCATGCTGACCCTGGCCCAGACCCCATCTTCCCTCCCCGTGACTGCCACAGTAACCCCTGACCTGGTGTTCTAGCAGTCTTGAAGTGTCCACACTGTGGCCAGATGAATCCCCTCCCCTACTTAAAGCCTCCAGTGACTCCCCTCTGTCCTCAGCCCTGCACCGCCTCCCCGGTGTTTTGCCTTCTGTTCTCTAACAACATTGAGCTTCCTGTTGCTCACCCCTGCAGCAAGGCAGGGCCCTTGCTGTACTGTCCCTGCCTCTGCCATGCTCACATGTGAAGAGGGGAAGAACCAATGTCAGGTGGCCTGGGACTGATGGCAGCCCCTTCCCCGCCTCTCCTCACTGGATTTGTATGGGGGCTCCAAGGAAGGGTCTGGGGTCTCTGCCCATTTGTCCACCTCCGCCTTCCCCCTTTTGTGCTTCTCTTTCCCTCTCCCCATCCCTCCATAAGACCCAGGAACTGGGATGGGGGGCCCCAGATGCTTGCCCTAGCTGAGGAGGGGGTCTGTGTAGGGAAAGAGGCAGGCTCGGCCTTAGACAAGGCTGCCAGCAGCTGCCCCAGTGTGGGGGATGGAAAATGAAAGCTTCTGCACCACTGCCCTGAGAGATACCAAGTGCTGCAGGGGGTCAGGGGAAGCAGGCATGTGGGGGTCAGGCCTTGGGGGGAGTGACTGAGACATTCTTGTTTTGGGGGCTAATCAGTGGCAGGGGAATGGGCAAGATGGCAGGAGCAGCAGCAGCTCTAGAAGGCTGCAGGAGGCTCCATTCTGAAAATGAAGCCAGGACCCTGGGGCTTTGGGAAAAGTTCACTCATCACTGCCCTCATCCCCTGGCATTCTGACTCTCCTTCTAACCATCACCTGAATGGGAGGAGGGAGGCCCTATGGCCAGGCAGGTGGGGCTGGGGGGCAGGGGAGGCTGCATTCCTAGAGTGTTAATGATCTCCGGGCTGGGCAGGAGCTGAGCCCCCAAACCAGTTTAAAAACAACAAACAGCTCCCAGGAGGGATTTGTGTCTGTCCTGAGAATCAAGGATTTCCGCCCGGATGGGGGCTGTGGCCTGTGAGGCTCTTAGCAAAGAAATTCCCCAGAGACCAGAAGCCCCCTGACCTAGAAGTATTACTTTGAGAACACACCCCTCCCCCATCCCTTTCTCTCCTCCCATCCTCCTAGGAAGGCCCAGTACCCAGGAGGGGAGGCGGCAGCCCCCCGACCCCACACACACCTAGGAGGTGTGAGAGAAGCATCTGAGAGCATTCCTCATCTGTCTCTCCATCCTTACCATAGTCCAGTGAGTGATGCTGTCCTTGGCATTTTATAGAAAAGGACTCCAAGGCTCAGAGAAGTGCCTGACACAGAGAAGATGCTCAATAACATCCGAACGAATGAATGTGTGAATAAAGGAAGTGACTAGCTAGAAGTCACAGAGTTATGCTGGGCCAAGTTGCAGTTGCAACCAGTCTGCCTGACCCCAACCATGAAGGCTTTTCTCTACTACATGCCTGGCCTCCCTGCCTCGAGAACTCTGGGGGCTGCCTGGAAGACGAGGAACCAGGGCTATCAGGAGGTGGCCAAGTCATGGCCCTAAGGGACCATGGAGGACTTCGGGAGGAGCAGAGTACCAAGGGCTGTTACCATGAACGCTGCAGACATTAGCACCTTTCCACTTGGCTCAAGGCTTCCCTCTGAACAAAGCCTCTCCTGGTCCAGGACAGTCCAGGAATAGTCCCCTCCACCTCCTTCCTCCCAGCCCCATGGATATTAAAAGTATTTACTCAAGTTCCTTGAGGTGGATCCCTTAGTGAATGCTTAATATCACACTGTAAAGGGAGACCCTTCTGCAGAGTTTCAACCCACACCCTTTTGCCCAGCCTCCTGCCCTTGCATGGTCTTTGCCTTTTCCTCGCCCCTCTCTCTGGGCCTCCTAGCTGACCCATTCTGGAACCCGGGCTGCACCTTCATCGGGGGCCTTCCCACAAACACTCAGGTAGCCCTTTCCTTGTTCCCACTGTTTCAGTACCCCCACCTCTCCCACCCACAATTCACAAAGCCATGCCCTGATGCTTTAAATCCATCATTTATTGCCCACAGTTCATTAGTATTACATAAATCACAGAGACTGAGAAATTTTCTGAGAAGGTTAAAAAGACACTGCACAGTCCCCTGGGTATGGCCAAGGCATGTGTGCTGCTGGGGCTTCACTCACACTGACCCAAGGCTGGAAGACCACCTTGGATCTGCCCATTGGCCTTTCTCCTTCTCAGGACCCCCACCCTTCACCCAGGCCTGAGGCCCAGAACAGCAAACAAGCCGGCTCACAATAAGGAAGAGGAAAGGGGTCAGCCATCTTGACTTGGCAGCCATCTTGATATCTTGGGCTTCTGATCCCTGAACCCTCAGATTGCTCTCTGGAAGTGGGAGAAGGGCATCGCCAAGCCTGAGAGAAAGTTTGGTGACCAGAGGAGGGTTGGGCAGGGATAGCAGAGCTGGAGAACCAGTTGCAGGTGTGTCCTGCATTCTGACACAGCTGGTCTAGTCCCCTCCTGACTGTAGGTCCAGGCTTGGCCTCTTCCCCAGTCATGAACCAATCTGCCTCTGGAGTCAGCAGAGTGGGGCATGGGTGTTAGCCAAAAGTTTCCCCTCATGGGGTTTTCAGAGCTGTCCCTGTCAACACTGCCCTGAGCTATAAGGATCCTTTGCAGGGCACCCCCACAGGAACAACCCCCTTAGCTCACCTGAAATTGCATTTGGGAGCATGATGGAAACCATCTGGGAGACAAAGCAAATAGTTTATGAGATGCTGAGGTCACAGGGGTGGGGCAGGGCTGGGCAACCAACATGCTCCCCTCTGCCAGGCCCCAAGAGGGGATTGGGTGGAGTCAGGTAGGCAGTTTTGGTATGAAGATAAAGTACACAAGAACAAGACCCTATGACAGGTCAGTTTGAAGTGAACTTTTCAAAAGAAGACCCAGATGTGCCCAGTCCCCAGTCCAGGCCTAGAGACCAGCACAGCCCAGCAGTCATTGATTGGCACTTTCACATTACAGCAGGATTGGCTTAAAAACACCTTCCCCTTCACACTGTGACACCCCTCTCCCTCTGCTGTTTTCCTCCCCATGTTTGTCTATGCCTTCTCCCCTTCCTGATGGGAAGGAGCTGGGCTGCTCCTCAGGAGAGCAGTGGGCCCCTCAGGGCAACGTCCTGCGGAGCTAGCTGGTGAGCAGCCAGGGACTGGCTGAGGGAAGGCACCAGGGCTTCTGGGTGGGTGCCTGGTGTCAATACCCGCAGAAGACCCTCCTAACCAAACTAGCCCTGCCTTAAGATGCTGCAAGGCCACCTGTGGCCACGCCCTGGTGTCCTGCACTTGCCTTTTCCTGCACATGCATGTGTTCACCTTCAGCCCAGATTTCTCCCAAGGAAGAATCACCAGGGGAGGGGAGGCCCAGGGGCTGCATGTCCCTGGGAGTCACTTTGCTCATCCCTACCCAGAGAGCTTCCCTCTGGAGAGCTCTCCTTCTTGCCTGCAAATGGGAGGGAGACGGGAGCCAATAACAAGGAGCTCTGAGCCTGTGGGGGTGAGAGGTGGCAGGCAGGTGTGGCCCTACTCTCAGGCCCAGGCATCCACGCTCCCTTTTCCTCCAGAACTGTGAAGTGTTTGGCAAAGGTCAAGTGCTCCTGGGAATGTGAGGTCATATACTGAAGGGCAAGGTCCAGGTTTTGAGGCCAACTGCTAGCCACTCCCAAGGGGCCTGCCCCTTTCCCGGTCTAGTGTCCATGTTGGGGACGTGCCTGGGATGACCAGCATCTGAGCAGGACAGGCAAAGATGAGGTCTAGCTGGAAGAGCCAGTGGGAACCCCCTGATCCAGTCCTCTGGTTCCAGACAGGGAGTGGAGGCTCAGAGAAGGAAATGGACCCGTCCAAGATTACACAGTCAGAGCCAGAGCTGGGGACTGCCGTTCCCGGTCGATGCTGCCTCTCAGACAGGATCTGGCCTTGGTGCTCTCAGGCATGAGACCCTCCTACTCAGGAAGGGATGGGATGGGGCAGGCAGCCTCAGGCTGGAGAAGCTCCCAGGACAGCCGGTGGCCCAGCTCCAGCCCTACCCTCAGCCTGGTGCCTAGAAGGAGGATCTTCCCGCAGAGGCCAAGTACAGGCCCGTGGTTCCTGCCAAGCATTGTTTCTTCTTGGGGTTCCCTGCCTGCAGCTGGGGTCATCTCAGGAGCCTTGAATCAGTTAGGGCTCCATGAAGGGTGACCCTAACCCGTGTCACAGGGCTTCACTCAGAGGGACGGGTTCTGCAGCTGTGTCATGGATAAGAGCTGGCCATGTTCACAGCCAGCTGCCCACAGAATCTTCCAGAGGTCTCCAGTGCTCCTTTATTCCCTGGGCCACCTCCTGAGGACCTAGTTGTGGCTAGTTCATCCTGTGGGGTGCAGACCACCCTCCTCCCATCCCTGCTCCAGCCCAGGGACCTGGCCTGGCCACTGTGATATCCTAAATCTACCAGGCCGGCCAGCAAACCAACCCAACTCCCAGGCCTACTCAGCCTCCTACCACCTGTCGACCTGTCGCTTCCAGCCAGCTGCAACACAGGTTCAGACCTGATTCTGATAAAAAGGGAAAATTAAAAAGAAACCAAAATTTAAAAGGATCCCAATTCTACTCCTCTGGCGCTCTACCATTTTTCAGCTTCACACATAATTGTGCTGAATGGAGTTTTGACAACCCCACGTAAGGCTCTGAAATGCACTTGATTTGTTATAGGAAATGTATCAGATTTCCTGTCCCCTATGTTAAAATGTAAATGGATTAGTCTCCCTATCACTGCAGGGTGAGTGTTCCCCTAGGTGGTCCAGGACTGGTGGGGTCAGCTGGACCCTCCCTGCAGGTGCAGACCGTGGGTCTCCTTCCCTGCCCCCGGTGCTACGGCCTGGACAAGGCTCCGTCCCCAGGCCGCTGGCCACCACTCACAGTCCCTTGTTGTACACCACTGTCTGGCTGCTTGTGGCCCTGGCAATCTCAGGCTCTAATTGAGATGTTTCAATCTGTGGAGAGAGAACAGAGAGCTAAAAACTGGAGGGAATGGGAAGGGGCAGGAGGGAGGCTGGGAGTAGCAGTCAGGACCACCCTGGTCCCCCCCCACATGCCCTTCCTAGTGACACATCTTCCTTCTGTACCCCCCTCCCAACACGGGGCTCACAGTATTCCTTCCAGTCCTGGCCTGGCCTCTTCCTTCTGACAGCGTGTCTGTGTGGGTGAACACCCTACACTCTGGCCTGAGTTCTGCACCTCCCTCATCTCCGAGAACCTTGTCCAACACACTGCAGATACCTCGTCCCAGGGACACACCCTGGACCTGGTCACCACCCAGGGCTGCTCCACCCAGACTCCTTAAATCTAAACCCCACCCTCTTGGACCCCACAGTCCCCTGTGCTTCCAGCACCTCACTCACTCCTGCTCCTGTTTTCCGACCACTGACACCTCAGGCCCCAGACCACCTACCTGTCAGTCTTCACATCCCCCCTCCAACCCAGACACCAGGGACCATCACTTCACCTACCCCCCAGCCCAAGGGTCCTTCCAGCCCTGACTCTGGAGGAAGCCAACCATGTATCCACCATCCCTACACTTGAACCTGACCACCTAATGGAGACCACTCAAAATTCCTGGTCCTTGACCTTGGCTGGACCCTCACAGCAGCCAGCAGCCACTCCACCCATCCCTATTGCCAGTCAATTCCCTCTGCCATTCTCCACAGGGGTCACCCCGAACCTTCTCTGCTCTCCTCAGCCACCACCCTCAGCTCCCCACTCATCCTGAGCAGATGAGCCTTCTTCTTACTTCAGGGAAAACCCAGAAGGCTTCAGGGGGGCACCCCTCAGCTTCCCATCAGCAAACACAACCTTTCTGTGTCTGCACTTGGCTCTACACCTGCCCTCCCGCCACCCCACAGAAGCTATCCCCTCCTTGGAAGGCAGATCCCCACCTGACTCCCCCTCCCTCCAGTCCACTCCTGGGGCCCACTCCTGAACTGCCCTCCCTCTCTCCCACCTTTGCAGTCTATTGCTACCTGTGACCAGTGTTTCCACACACAACGAGAACTTTCCATCTGATGAAACCTCCTGTTCACCCCATGTCAGGCTCCAGCTACTGCCCGGTCTCTCTCCTTCTCAACAACCACACTTGAAAGAATTGTCTACACTGCTGCATCCACCCCCTCACCTCCCACTGACTTTTCAACCCACAGAAAATCTGGCTTCTGTTCCCACCACACTCGACAAAAATCTTTCTCCCCAAGGTCACTGCCTCCTCCCATTTTATGACATCTGCTGGACGCTTCTCAGGGTCCTTGGAATAGGCCGTCTACTTCTCTGCACAAGCACCTGGGTGACGCCCACATCTAAGGTGACTCCAGCCACATTTTTCCCCCGAGCCTCAGGCTCACAGCCTGCTAGACCTTTCTATGGATGCCCTACAGGCACTTGAACTCAATCTGTCTAAAATAGAACTGAATTTGCCATCTCCCCCAGCCCCAACTCAGCTCCCCATCTTGGGGAAGGACACCACCATCCAATGATGCTCTGGCCCAAGACCCTGGGGGCCTCCTCACCTCCTCCTTCCTTCCCTTCCCCCAAAGTCTTGTCCACTCTGGTGTATCCCCTGCCACAGCCAGGGCTGGCTGCAATTCTGATCACACCTCTCTCCAGCACAAAATGGTTCAGTGGCCCCCATCACTCTAGAGATCAAGTCCAGATTCTGTGCCGTCCAGCCCCTGCCTAACCCTCGCCACCCTTCCCTAGCACTGGAGATGTGGGGAGCAAATACTTATTTCAGTTCCTTGAATGAACTGGGCCACCCCCACACCCCAGTCTTTGCCTGAGCTGTACCCTCTGCCACAGACACACTCTCCCACTTCCACTCCTGCGCCCACCCCACCTTCTCCCATCTTCAGCTCATCTTTCATGTCTCTGCTTTAGACATCTTCAGGCTGGCTGTGGCCCCCACAACTCCCTGCACTTCCTCTCCGCCCCCACAGCTCCCTACACTTCCTGTTTCTGAGTTACACCCCCTTGTTTTGGAGCAGACCACTCACTTGTCCCACCTCTCCACCTTGGATCACAAGCTCCCTGAGGCAGCGAGCGTGTGGATCCTGTTCACCCCGCAGCCTCAAGCCTAACACCAGGCTGGTACACACGGGTGCTCCCTAAGTGTTGAATAAATGGGTAGAAAGAAAAGAGGCAGTAAGCACTGGGAGGATGGGGTCCCCTGGACACACCACAGCAGCCCAGATGCTGATCTTCAGCTCCAGGGGCTGAGGCAGTGGGGATGCCTGAGCCCCCAGCCTGAGGGGGGCCGGGGAGGGAGGTGCACCCTCAGGGAGAAGGCCCCAGCCTGACATCTGCCCTGGGTAGTCATGGAAGTGCCTAGTGCTGGGCCTTTGTAGCTCAGGTCAGCTGAACTTGGTCCTAGGTACCTGCCTTTGTCAAGACATGGCAGCCCTGGCAAGTAGGCAAAAGGTGCCACAGACCAGCGTGACCTTCATAGAGCTTGGTCAAGCCCAGCTGCACAGACAGACAACAGGGACTTTGGTGAGGACTGGAGCTGGTGGTCATGGTGGGATTCTTGGAGAAGGTGGGGATCCTTACCCTGTAGTCCCTGGTACCCCAGTGCCCAGACTCGGGCCACCTGAGAAGGCCAAATACACAAGAGCTAGGCTCAGGGCCCAGGTCTCTTCCCCACCCCCTCTCCTCCAGCCACCTTCCCCCTCCCACCCCTGCTGGCCCCCAAGTCCCCTCCACCCTGCCAGCTCCCCTCGTCCCCACACTGCCACTGACACAATGCACAGCGCCCACGCTTAAAAATCTAAATGCTTTTGAAAATGTTTAACCTAGTTAGACAAATTAGCAAAAATTTGTGCAAAACAATTTAGGTATTTAAAATATTCAATGTTTTTAAAAAACTGGAAAACTGTTCTTAGCTTTCAGCTGCAAAAACCAACAAAATATAACATCCCAGCAATCTTACCATGAGGTGTAACATAACCCTTCGGGAAAGCTGTTAAACAGCTACTGAGGCATCCTGGGAAATAGCACTTCATTTATTCAAATGCACATATGTCAGGCTTTTGCACCATATGTCATTCCAAGCTATTTACAGTAATAATTAAATCTTAATCAACGTTTAACCTCTGTAAAATGTTTGAAGAATCCTAATCACCCTTCAGACTGCACTAATGAAGGAGAAATATATAAACATAAAAGGAAAATGATGCATAGATATCACACTGGAAAGAACAGTAATTGCAAAATTGTATTTCTTTTTAAATATAATCAGTAAATGATGTAAAGTAAGCCAAGGAGTATTTTAAGTTAAGACATCTTGGATGTCAGAGGTGTGAGCAGCTAATTTTGTTCTGCTACCCATAACAGATGTAGCATATTTTATTTTAGTGCCATTATTAGCAACTTCCCATGCCGGCTTTCACTGAAGCACTGGGGCCCACATTAAAATCAGAGAGGCTGCTCACAGCCACGGTGAGGACCACGGCCCAGAGCCATGGCACACTGTGCCCACTCCCTAGACAGCACTGGCCTGGAGGAGACTGAGGCCTCCCCTTCCCTGCTCCTCAGGGCTCCCTGCAGAGCTGAGGGCAGCAGGTAGGAAAATGGGAGATGCAGGCAGTGGGGAGGCTGGGGGGGGGGGGGGGGGGGGGG